AATAAGGCCATTTATCTATCGATCGATTTTCGATTCATAGATACATTAGGTTTCAAGCTATTGGGAAAATTTCGAGATAATTTTCTCTGCTAAAATATTAAATGCATATTTTTTAAATAAGGCATATTTACAGATATAAAATAATATTACAAAGCTCTTACTGTTTGGACTTTCTTAACAAGCTGAATTAATTAAATAAACTTTATTCATTGACCAAGTAATGAATTTGTTAAATAAAATCTTAGCGCGTCAAATGTGATGGGAAAACAAAAAAATGTAATTAGCTAACGAAGTCATGTGGGACACGTTATCGCTTTGTGCGTCATCGTACGCCTGCATACCAGGATTGGGAGGTGCGGCCGTGCAACTCTGTGTGCAGCGACCGTACAAACAGTGACCAATCATCAACCTCTGCTTGTTTAACCTAATCAGCCAAGCTAATCATGATTAAGCCCCCCACGTGTACACTTTATCCGCAGTATACGTACTGAATAAACGTGCTCCGTGCTACACGTCTGTTTCCTTTATAGCTGGGCTATAGCTTAGCTGGTTCGGGGAGTCTAGCTAGATGTTGGAGAATCTGCCATAGAGATTTCTGAGTCAGTCAGGCTTTACTAGCGTAGCAATCCGCTACAGTCTTTAAAAAAAATATAAAAGATTGAGATGAGTTTATTCACATGCACTATCTTCCCTAATTGATCTTTTTTAAATTCACCTGAAAGCACGCAATATTTCCTTTCAGATCATGGTCTATCTATTGGCTATTAAATTTTTCGAAATCTTTGAATAACCTGACTAATTCTTTAAAACAGACGTCTTCCCACCCAAGATAGTTAATTAAACTCTTTTAAAGCCATTTTGCATCATGCCTTTGACTCTTTTTAAATACTAGCTAAATAAGGACATAGATTCGATTTACCACTGTAGGTATGTGGAATTGACATACGCCTATCCGAAGTCAGTGATTGTGGGTTTGAGAGCCACTGGTGGACATTAAGTGAATGGAAGTCGAATTTGTAAAGTTAATCCTAGATGATAAAGGACGCGACAGAGTACTAGTGTCCCACAAGTGAGACATCATAATGCTATCATTTATCATATGCAGGCGGTAGATAATGCATTTCCAAATCGTCCTAGGAGTTATTGATCTCTCCATTAACGCTACTTGTGTTGAGGTCTGTAGATGAATGGAGCAGAATTTTCGAAATTATTGTTATGTTGGAAAAAGTATATTTCCACTTTTTTCTTTTGAACAAAATTTTTGGAACTACCTCTTCGCATTGTTATATTGCTGATAAATTAGGTTACTCTATAACAAAAATTATGTATATAAGGCTATGTATTATCCTAGCAACCGGTTGCAGACAAGTCTTATTTACATTTGTACGTGTTCTCATTTCTGGGACACTATCTAAAATTTAGTAATACTGTAGCCTTACATAGTAATTGCTATTTTCGCATATAAATCAAATACAAATCTTTCTGAGAGGAATATGGTACAGAACTTGAAATTAAACAAAATAAACTGATAAACATGTTGCCATAAAATTTTGAGAAAAAATAATTACGTTGAGGGGGGGGGATGGGAAGATTCCTTTGAATACTTCTAAAAGGAAGGAAATAGCAATTTAATAAAGCATTACTTTTATATTTTCACTTACAGACGTTCCGTTGTAGTACGGTTACTGTTTTGGGGAACAAGAAAACGTTAGGGATGAGAAAACTTTCCAAGCCATTACTTTTCTATGTTTTAAGAGTGGTAAGGGAGAACGTTTCGACATCGGGACTAGTTAGCTGATAAGTGACAATTATTAGGACATTAAGAAAAAATTGATAAACAATGCAAAGTATGTAGCCTACGGCTTCTACTAATGCAGATCAACAGCAACAACTGGAATGGATAAGTATGAAGTTCTTTATCACCAATTGATCATTAATTTATTAAATTTTAAAAAATTCTCTGCATTTGGCAGATGTCTGAAAGTGGTCCAACTTTCTCACTGATTTTCTATTTAGTCCTATATAGCTTTCGAGGTGTCCGAGTGGAGAGCACTCGACCATTTATTTGACCGAAGGAGACTTGATCATTCGTAAATTACCTATTTCGGTGAGCTTGTATTAAATATGTATGTTTCTAATCAAGATTTGGGACTTCATAATATTTAAAAAGCTTTATTCTTACTCAATGCAATTAGAAATATCAATAAAAATAGACGAATTTTAAAGAACTTATTCAATATAAGCATTAGGTAAAAATGATCAATAGGAATCTATGTTCCAAAATTTTAACTAAATTTTCAGTAGATGATAATAAGGTTAGTTGATTTGTGGGTGGTGGATCATGAAGATTACAAATGCTATACAAAAGACAGTGTTCAAAATAGACTCGGATTAAAAATTAATAATTAATTTAAAAAATACATAGACTAAATCTGATCAGTGTTTTATTTAATTTCAAGTGGTCATTATGGTATAAAATTACATAACACCGGGTCTGATAAGAACAAGAAGTACCTGAAGCCACAATTCTTTATTCAATTAAAATATTACATGTTACATTTTCAAATTAATAAAAATATTATTCATATATGTTTTTGGATTTAGAAGCTCTTTATAGGAAAAATTATGCATTGTTTATAACTAGGAATGACCTTTTGTTCAACATTTCGAAAATGTCTTTACTTAATGCGCAATCGGGTTTTCATTCCAATTTTACAAATGAAGAATGCTCAAGAGATGACGAGGAAGCTGAAGAAGTAAATATAATGTTTCATAATGTTTTAAGGTATATATGGCTATAAACTGTTATGGAGGAGTTTGTGGTATTGCATTTTCTTCTCCAAACGGTATTTTGAAATGTGTTCCAGATTTTCAATTTAATCAAGAATTCACCGAGGTTTTCACAAGTAATTGTGTATTTTTTTCATTGTTTTTAGTCATTCTTGAAGTAAATCCATATCTCATTCTTGGTACTGAGTATACAATAGGAAGTTTAAAGGACTTTACATCAACGCATGGATGTAGGACTTATTAAATGTATGAAAAACTTTTAGATAAGACCTATACGCTGCCAAGAAATTCAATGAGTAATGCAATCATAAAATTTATGATTAATAGATTATGACTCTTGCCTGCAACGTCTGCATCTTATCAAACTTCCATATGCGCCTACATTTGTGGACGAAGGGGAAAGTGCAGCTTATATCATGTCTATTCTACCTAAAGATTCTCCACAGATGGTATTAATTTTGTTTTAAAATAGCTATAAAAATCGTTCTAGATTAGAGCTGCTGGTGCTCTTCTTGATTATTTGGCTAAAAGAACTTCACCAGTTGAAAATTTCCCTTTTCCGAGTGTTGGCAATGTTCTTGATGTACAACTCTACTTAAGGCAAGAATTATCGAACTTTAAAAGCCCTGGTTTAGAAAACAATATGTTTTTATTGATACTCCCACTCTTATTCGATTACAAATTTTCGATTCTACCATTCAAGAGCCAGGATCTCGGATTGTTTATTCTAGACGTTTTCAAAATACTTCTGATGTTAATTTGTTTGGCAAGTTTATCTAAATTGAAGTATTTGATTCTTTAATTAGATTATCTAAATACATGCTCTTCAAATTTGGGAAGCCGACTTCTTTCTAAGTGGTTGAGGTTCCCGCTTCAAGACATGGAAGAATTACATCGTCGTCAGCATGCGATTGAATTTCTTTCGAAATCTGCGAACAGGAGTCTTCATAAAACTCTAATTAGCTCAACAAAACGCGTTGGGAATATCCAGGTTTCTTCTATTCACCAAATCGCTTCCATTCGCTTCTACTTTTATTTATTTAAGTAGAATAATTTACTTTGTAGCGCGTTCTTGGCAAGATGCATACTTCATCAGCTTCACCGAATGACTGGAAAATTCTACTACAAACTTTGCAATCTTTGAAGGAAATTCTAAGTGTCTGTTATCCCCATCCTGAATTAGGCACACCTTTTGAAACCCCGGAAAGTGTTCAGTCTCCGCAGCAAGTAATTAATTCTCTACTGGACAAGGTTGCTGAGACCATTGATATGTCCTCAACATCAAATCATAAGCGTTTCATTGTTAGACAGGGACACCATGCTTGGCTAGATGAGTGTTGGTGCCATAATCTCGGATGTGTCCATTTGCGTTATCTATTTAGACAACAAATTTTGTTTATTTCAGGGAAACAGATCTACCGATGCCTACCGGACATACTCAGTCGACTAGCCGAACATGAACTGAATCGTCTACGTGGACATGTGGATGCTTGTGGACTGATTTATTTTCCTCTTGTAAGTTCAAGTTCTTGAATTTATTTTTATTATGAAATTATTCGGTTCAACTAAATTTTACCTACTCTATCTGAGGGATTGCCTACCATAAATCTAACTGCTGGTTACTTTCAAAAGTATATAGTTGGGGAAACAATTTTCTCGTCAAAGACCCTGCTCAAATTGACTGCTTGTTTATGTCCTCATCGTTCTTTCTATTCTGGTGCTAATTAATTACCTTAATCGGTTGCCTACACAGTTTATGACGGGTTAGAATAGACAAGGCCAGCTGTATCTAAAATAAATTTAAAATGGAGAAATCGTTTCCACAATGAAATATAAATGATTAAAATTCTTTCCACAAATTGAATGGAGGGTGCCTGATGGATTTCCGAATGCGGATGTTTAATTTCCAATAAGCACTTGATTAAGCGGGTGATCCGAAAAAGCCAATATAAGCCTTATCGGTTTCCACAGTCGATATATTATAGTTGCGGGGTGCGCGATAGACTTACCTCCACGTATCTTCGTACGGCAAAAAGTCTATCACTCGGCATTCGATTTGACTTCGATTTATTATGATTAGCTTGAAAAAAGGCTATAAGAAAAATCGCCTTCGTCAGGGCGATTCACAACGTCTTCAGATCCTCCAGTGGAATACTGGAGGAATGTCACCGGACAAAAAGATCCAAGTCCAGAAAATCCTACAAACCTATGATGTAGACATTTTCACAATTATGGAAGCAAACATTTTGGATGACAAACTGAAGTACTACCTATTCCCAGGTTACATCCTGTACCTTCTACCTAAATACCGGCAAGTTGCAAGTGGAATTCTAACTGGAGTAAAAGAAGGCCTCACCTCACACTACGATCTAATCAAGAGTATGGGATCGACACAAAGCAAATGTGAAATAATCAGATTAAATGTTTGGA